GAATGATAACACCAGATCCCTGCTTCTCAAAAGGTCTAAACAACCGCAAGTGGGAAACATTTTGGACTGTACCATGCAAAACTCTTCCAACTATTAAATGAAGTGTAACAAAACCAGTCACAAAACTAACGACCCAAGCACGCCCACAAACACCGCCTGCAGTACAAAACAGACACAGCCCCTGCGGACAGTCGCGTATTTGAGAGCTGCACAAGCTACTGCAATTAGCACTTATTACTTCGAAAATAAACCCATTTACTTCCCACACACCTCAGCTTACTCCACTCTTCACCCCCCTGCCTCAGCTCCTGCCAACATAGGATCAAACCAGTACAACGCATGCTACCCAAAATCACTTTCGTTCTGTAGTCCAAGGGGAAAAACACTCCTGACTGCAGCACTGTACTTCAAATTGCATAAATCACTTTCATCTCAAATTTTCCGCTCTCGGTTTCTTTTTAGGACTGTACACCACGACACAGCAATGTGTCAAATGCCTTACAAGTCAGGGCACTCAGAAGCCCTGAGCGGCCATGCAATGAGTCTAGATGTGTTTTACGCTGTTCAAACGTAAAATTATTTGCAGTTTGGGAGCGTACCAGTCCCGACTTAATAGACGTTACAAACCTCTTCCACAACAACCCCTTCCATTTTACTTTTCCCATTCTAATTTCTCTCCAAAGATATGCCCTTCCACTTATGGCATATTAAACTTCTCAGATCTATCAGCTCCCGCTGAAGCCAGGGGACGTTTCCATTCCCTGCAAAGCGGACAGCAGGGACGTGCAGCATGCACTGCCCCGATAATTTTACCCTCTAGCTCCATCCCGTGAAAGGTTCGCTTGTAGGTGAAGCCCTGCCACTAAGAAGTAAGACCTCGTTGAAGGGCACCAGGAGAATGGCCCAAGGGATGGTGACAACAGCATCAGCCGCTACACAAAGGGTCGTGGGCAGATCCACCAGCCTTTCACAGAGCTTCACGGCGTTTCAGAGCAGGCCAGACCAGACCATTTCAAACAAGACCTTTTAGCCTAACAGGTCTCTGTTTACCTTTACCAGTCTGATAAAATTAGTAGTTTATCTTCATCACCCTTCTTGCCACCAAAATGAACTAGATGTTCGCCGCGTCTGCTTCCAGCCACTCACAGTATGACGAACGGCTTGGTGACGCAGGCTGCGACCCAGAAAGCCCGCTAACTTCATTGATGTTTGGAAATCGAGCTCATCAGATGCAACTATTCAAAGTTTAATCAAAATATTAAGAGATCACCTTCACATCATGTGAACACCGAACCAACGGACGGTCAGAAAGCGAAGAATATTTATGAACAAATTAATCATACTTTCCATCTTAAGGATAGGAAATTTTAGCACTACTGGACTTCCTACCTGATGAATTAAGGAGACAAATCCTAAATTTGACTAAACCCAGCATAAATTCTAAGCGATGTAAAAGAATTTAAGCCCCCGGTATCTCCAGAATGGTGAGACCTCACAACAGAAACATGTCTGTCGCAAGGCAATGCTGCAGACGTGTGGAAAAGGTCTAAGGCAGGACAACAAACATGCTTTACAGCTGTACAGAATTCAAACTCTCTTTTTAAGAGATATGGACGGACTATCAAATTTTGCAAACGTTAAATCAATGATGAGATATATTAACACACAGGTACAGGAACTCAGTATTTCCCTGTGATATACCATGTCAAGCACAGGGTGTTTCATACTTCAACAATTAACATCTTCTCCCCAACAGGGCTTACATGTAAGGTCTTTATTTTAAAATTTAAATTCATCTTCTCGCTCTTCGATATTTATTAAATGTGAGAAGACAGGGACAAGGCCTAAAGTAGGCATCTTTTAGGAAGATCTAAAAATACGTCTGCGCTTGATTACATATGTCATCACGTCATTATAATTACATGTAATGTTATAATTACAACATGAAAAGAGTTATAAGGCAGATAAACAATAGAGTAACTATTTGGATTGCCTTTTTGATATGACAATATTTTAATTAGATGACTCAGCACAGTACTTTCAAAGACAAACTGTTGAACGTCCTCTCTACATAGGAAAGTTCATTTTGATATACATATTTTGAAAGTGAAATAAAAGGAAACAAACAACACAGCTAGCCCGCTGGAACCTTTTTGTTCACATTTAATTATTGATGAATGCACTGAGTATGTTTGGCCTCTAATTTCATTTACTGCCAAATGTCAAAGTTAATAGATAGCCATAAACACTTAAACAGTGACTGCTTTGAGTTCCAAGATGTACTCTGACACAAAAAACCGTGCTCTTTCAGGCACAGATCCAAGAGGCGACCTGCTCCAGAAAAAACGCTTGCCCTGTGAAAAAATGCCAAACCCTATATTTATGCATGAAATTCTTCGCAATGTTTGAAAATGTTTCTGTTATATACGGAGAGTTCAGTTCACCTTGGGTGATTCTCATTATTCCACAACCAGTAAAATGCCAATGGAGTCAAAAGTCAGTCTTTAGAAACAGCGCTGGATTTGGCTGAGGGGGAAGGGAGGTCAAGGCTAGGTCAGTGACACCTAGTGCAGTCACTCACTGCCCTCCTCCATCCCTTTTTAAAAATAAGAAAAACAAACATACTTTATATAGCACAGAAGAGCAATTTCTTTTAAAAGCTACATTTAAACTCTCACAAGGAAAGCAAGGCAAAGCATCCTGGGCTGGCATTCGGGTTCCCAGCCTCTTTCTTCCCAACGGAGAGCTGGTTAAAATATCGGAATTGCTACTGATTTCACAGCAGCATCCTCACATCAAGTAACAACCTCTGAGGCCACCTCTCCCTCCCTAAACTCAACAGCCGTTCAGCTGCTCTCACGATAAGCCTTCTCCTACACTGAGGCGTGTTAGAATTAGTACCGAACACTTCCATTCCAGACAAACATACCCACCTTGCCGTGTTCTCCAGCATGCTTGGTATCACTTACGAATTACGAAACAGCGTATCTCAGACATCTACCACACATACACAGCCCATCAAATTAAGTAACACCACTGATCCCAGAGATCCCAGTATAAAAAGAGCCTCAGATACCCTTACCCATCTGCTACCAGCGTCGGAGACGATCCACAAACCCCCGCGCACTGCTCAGTGCCTTTCAAACACTACAGTACATTCGTTATTCATGCTGTCTTCTTCAAGTCTGTTTTCACGTACTCTGAAGTATGCTGTTCAGCATCAAAACAGCCATAAAATTAAAAAGCAGAATTTATCACATAATGGAGAGAGATTTGGTTAGACAAATGCAGCTCCTCTTCTCAATAATTTAACCATCTTCCTTTTTGAATAAAACATTTTAAGCTGTTAATACGCTGCTACCAAGAGCAATACTCACAGTTGCTTATAACTCCTCCGAGGGGGTCCCCCTTGAAATCAAACTCAATATCCATGTATTTTCCCTGTGAAAGCAACATATTTTAAGACTGTAAGTTCTGTTTAAGAAAAACTGCTCAAGACATGTTTTTAAGAAGTTAGGTGGTCATCTTTACAGGCTAAAAGAGCAAACTGGCAATCTCCCGTACACGCTGTTGAATTCTGAAAAATGGAACATGGTTCAAAGCTTCCAAGACAACTGCATTATCACACCCAGAGATTTTCCTAAGAAAACCTTTAATCAGGTTTGTAATGCAACGCAGTAAATTTGCTCAGTTTCTAAGGTACATGAAGAAAAAACGCATCACACAAACTTTCCCCAGAACACCAACCACCACTTGTGGCCACGTAGCTGTTCCCATACTTTTAAACAGAACAACGCAGGAAGAAGCCATCTTCCATGCAGACTCCTCTCCTCAGTGTCAGACCTTCCCAGAGCTTAATAAAGGCACCTGAAGGATGGCCGCTCAGCTTGGCCTGACGGACTGGTTGGCCACCATTCCTGTTCATAATTGTGAGCTGTCTGGCCCTAAGCGCGTACCTGCCTTGTAAAAGCGATGGATTTTCCCCACCAAAACCCTCATAACTCAGAAGACCAGAGGCAACAATTAACAGACTGTCACCGTGATTTCATTTTTAGCTCTACCGGCGCAGTGCGTTTCCATGACTTCTGCTTGACTTTTCCACAGATGCTCCATTCTTGGCATCATTTTAATTTATATGACACGTGTTTAATGGCGCAACCGCTACGTTTAACAGGGACAAGATGGAGAGACCCATACTGCGTAGAAAAGGCAAGAGCAGCACAGCTCACGTTGGCAAGGAAGTTCAGAAAGATGAAGAGTGCTGGTAGTAATTCAACCAGATTCCACCAGCCACGCACAGAAACGATCTCCCCACCCTCTGGTGCTGACTTAACAGGGGACAAAACCAACCGACTGAAGAGAGAAGCCTGGCGCTGATACTTCCTTCTTCATTGCATTTAGGAAGAGTTTTCTTTTTTTTCTTTCTCTCTTGATTTTAATTACAGGACATAAAACCCAAGCACATTACATTGGCTGTCTCAAAGATATTTTCTAATTTACTGGGTATTTTGTCAAGATTGGCTTGGCTATTCAACTCGATTCTTCGCCTTGCTGGCAGCTGAGGCAGGCTAGGCAGGACAGTACTTGTAGTTTCTTGTTTGAAGTTCATTCTGAGCTGATTCAAATTTCTGAGATAAAGCATTAAACCAGATAATTAAATTTTAATTTCCCAAGGACTGGGCCAGCTGGATGTTTCCAAAAGTATTTTTAGCTTTGTGTTTATAAGCAAAGACTTGAAAGGCAAAACAGCAGTTGGTTGCACTTTGTCCTGGAAAGACTTCTGTTTGCAAACGGCACCTCCTCTCCTCTTTGCCGCCTCCTCCTCCTTTCTGTAGTACGTCATCTCAGATAGTTGCTTTTTTCCTACCCTTTCTATCAAAAAAATTCTCTACAATGCCTCAAATCTTGGCCCCTGACCTACTGATGAAAGCCCTTTGCTCTGTTCTGAAGCAGGGGCAATGACAGCCGCAGAAGGAGCATTCATAGCCATGGGGAGCAATATCATCAACCCTCGAGAACTGATTCTCCCACACGGGAGAGAAGTCTCCTCGAGAAGTCTCCCACACGGGAAGAAAGCCACTCTCCAGTAGTGTCACAATATCCCAGGCTTTTATCCATTTGCTTTTACTCGTAACGCACCATTTTCTCAGGGTATTAATTTGTCTGCTGTTGTCTACTTCACACATCTCACGATATTGCTCTTCTGCACACGAGTGAGAAAATTACCAAGCTGCACTCAGTCTCAGATTTTAGCAGGAGAAACTATGATGAGCACTCACACTTCTGAACCTCCCACTCTAGCTCAAACTTTTTTTTTGCGGGGGGGCAGTTGGCAATTCCTATAATTTCACATTCAGTTTCATGCTGAAAAAGCCTGGATTCAACCAGTTGATTATAAAGAATATAAGCAAAAAAGTAACCTTACAAATGTTTATACTAAAACCAAATTTGTGTACGCAGTTTGAAACATCCCAGAAAGAAAATGAGAACCTGAAGTAGCAATTTTAACAAAAAATGTATAGATATGGATGGCAAACGCGATCACGCAGAAAGATCGACTCGCTAAGCAGACAGGTTGCAAGGCACGTGGTCACTGACATTAAAGCCACCAGCGCCAGAAAATTCAAGAATCCAGCTGCGCTGTACTTCTGTTCTCATCCGGTCACAGACTGTCACATCCTAATTTTTTTTTTCTTTCTTTTTTTTTAGCCTCTACTTTGATTCTTGGTAGAACTCTACGCCCACACCAGAAACCAACAAGACTTCCGACAAGGAGGTGCAACATCTTTTAAAGAGAGGGGTGACTGCGACTCCTGCACTACTAACACACTGGGGAAGGAGAACAAGCTCAGTGGTACAAGATGAACCAGTGATTGCTGCTGAAGGGGTCTGTCTTCTCCAAACACCACGGTCCTCACACAGGTACGAGAAAGCGCTCTCTCCAAATTATTCATTCCCTCCTTGGAGGTGCCTTGATGGCTGACAGAAGGTAGAACAGAAATAGCCAACAACGTAACACACTCCCCTAAAATGGATTCAAATTCAGCCTTCAAGAAAATACTTACAAATCTAGAGGAGTTGTCATTCCTCACGGTTTTGGCGTTTCCAAAAGCTGGAGAAAGAGAGAAACAAATACAACAACCAAATCTATCAGTAAAAAAATTATTTAAATGCTAAAATATCTATGACACTTTATATACTTAAAGGAACCATGGACTGCCGAGAAATAATACCCTGTTCGTTGTATGGGCACCGTCACTGGGGACAGACGGAGCATCACAGACAGGATCACAAGTGAGAAGACACCTACAGAAATCCAAAGAAGTTTTGTCTCAACACTTCCCTTGTTTAAAAACGTGAAAGAAATATCTACGAGGGGAAACGGTTCCAAGGCAAAACTGCACCTGGATTGAGCACATTCTTAGGGTTTGAATCATAAAGTTTAAAATTTTATTACCCGAGTAACTTTAAATAGAGGAAACACTTCTTTCTCTTCAATTCAGAGGAAAAAATGAATCTTAGTTCCCAGAACTGAAGATAGTAAAACATGGAGGCCAGAACTGAGGAAATTACAGAATGACACTTAAAAATTGTCTGCATGGGAGAGTTTAATCAATGCTTTGAAACTGATTTTTTTACGCTATTCCAACACATTAATGCTAGCTTAAACTCAATATTACAATCAGTTGAAACACGTCCGGTTTAACATGAAAGTCTAACGCACTCTCCTCAGCTTGACCTAAACTAGCTTTTTGAGTAGCTTGGTTTTAATTTCTTTAGCTCAAGTTTTCTGACAATGAAAACTCCCCAAGAAAGGACTTCCCGGGGCGACATCCGCACAGGTGGCCACCGGCTCAGAAGACAGCCAGGACCAGAACTCGGACTGGAGGACGATTCAAGCTCTAAACATCATGCACTGTCAAAGTACGTCGACTCAAAGAGGAGTGTCCCCTACCTTATTAAGTCTAGCACTCCTATGCCAGCAGGAAACTTTCCTTATCCCAGGGCTTATTTATATAGCATATATATGTTCAAAGATCAAGTCAAGCCAATGTTTTTTGGGCAGAAATAAATACATGTTTTTTGGCTTCAACAAACTTGTATGAGTAGACTCCTTCTTGATCAAAGAACTGAGGCCAAAAGGAAAAGTTTGTTGCTCCTGAAGGCCAAGGATAAGTGAAAGAATTGTTTTAAAAATCTTTGGGCCCTGCAATAAATCATCTTGTCAACAACCAAATCTCTGAGCTGCATTTTCTTCAACACAGTGCTGAACAGTAGAGTCATTTATAACTGCACAGAATCCAGCACAAACGTTCCATTATAAAGCACGAGACACATTCCTCATTTTCCCTTAAGTTCATTGTTTCCAAAAGTTAATTTACAGTAGCAACTGTAGTTAAAAAAAAAAAAAATCCCATAAGATAAATTATGCCTATGTAACATTTATGTCATTTTCTTGCACTGCAGCTCGACTGAAACAGAGCTACATAACCAAAGAAAAATAAATCTAACCACAAACGCTTAATTTCTGTCTAAAACGTGCATAAGCAGCCAGGCTTGCTCAGCGGCCTCGTGGGATACCCCTGTGTTCTACCTCCCATAAGCTAAACGGGCAGTTACCACCGCACCAAGCAGAACAACGAGTACCTTGAAATGACAACGCACTCTTCCGTAAGCTTGGTCTGTTCCTCTTGCATTAAAATACAGATTCACAAACCAAGAAGAAATCCAACGCATTTGGCAGTCCCCGAGGAACAACCTAGCTTTGGCAAGAAAAACCTCCGTACTTCCCATGCTATTCCTGCGTCCATCTGAAATCTGCCTTCCCGAGCAGCGATAAAAGCGACACAGCTCTTCTCTGTGAATCCAAACCAACGGCAGCTTGCGGTCCCCCCACCCAGCTTTGAATGGGACATAACTGATCGTCCAAGAAAGGCTTACCCAGCATTTCCATTATTCTTAAATATTTCATCCTTTCTTCACAAGCCTTTGCTTACAATTTTTGTTTTGTGTACAGTCAATGGCCACATTTTACCCCCTCAGTTTGCCACTGCTCTCAGCCTACTTTTGCACCCCCTTCCTTTTTTCTAATTTCCCCCCTGTTCTCACTTGCAGAGTGCTTGCTCCCTATAGACTCCAAATCATCGCACACATGTATAGACAGACAGGCGATAAATAAAACGTTGACACTCAACAGTCTTACAAACACTGCATATCATCTGGCCGTAATGCAAAATTAGTATCGTACAGCAGTCACCGGAATTCGTCTCGGCACCACAACAGCTTAGGCAGCTGCGGGAAGGACTGAGCCAGCGATCAGCACAACAGACCTAAATCGGTCACCGCTAACCGAGGAACCTCAGCAGGCAATTGTTAGACAACGGGACAAAACTGCAGGCTTTGAGGATCCTACATACTATCTCCAGGAAAAATAAAGATCCGGTTTCTGGCAGCCGACGTCTTTAAATGAAAATGACTGATCAACAAAAAAAGCCTTTCAGGGGAGAGCAGGAAAGGCAGTTGTCCGGAAGACGGGCCAACAGAGAGTCACCAGACCCAGGGAACAATGAGTCTCGGGGAACAACAGGCAGGCGTATGGATTGGCTTCGGTTTTTCTAAGATCCATTTGTTCACCCTTTTTTTTTCTAAAATAAAAACAATGCTTTACAGAGCTTGTTTGTTTACCGGAGACTGTACTAACATAATTTGGAAGGAAATGAATCAGAGGGACCAAACTGGAGTCTTTTGATACAGCCAGGCATCACCAAGGCAGGGTTAAGAAAGGGTATGCCCCCAGAGAGCAGCAGGAGGAGGCTGGGAAACGTGACCGAACTTCTTCTCAAGAAAACCTCTCCGCAATGGAATAAAATCTTGCGGCCGTCTTCGCAGAATGCATCTCCGATGGTTCCAGAGACCAAATAGCAATGAAACAGCAACAGATACAGTTTGCCAAGCCAGCTCAGCAAGCAGGAACACTGATGCACAGAGGTAATACGCTCGTACGTGCTTTGTGAGATTCTTACCTTCAAGAACTGGATTTGACTGCAAAAGTTGTTCTTTCACTTGATTAACCTCTGCCCCTTTTCCACACACAGCAGCTACATATGACATGACAAGTTTGCTCGCCTCTGTGGGGGGAGAGCAAAATAAAACAGTGGTAAGTCTGGCAAACAGCCCATCAAATGATTTGCAGACTTGATCTCCGTCACATTTTCACCATGACAGACAAGCACATTTCGTTCCACTTTTCTTCTACATCTTTGTAGCACCTGGAGCTGAGGAAGGAGCAGATCCTGCTATGGGACCCATGCCACGACATCAGCAGCCCTGTTGACGTAAATACCTAGGTCCTTCCCAAGCTGCAGAAGCCACCACCAGTGGGTATGGCCCATTACTTGCTGCTTTTTCATTTGGCCTCAGGAAGAGGCATTCTGTAAGAAAAGAGCATTATCCCTAGCTGACGCACTGGAAATGCTTTAATGTAGCCTGAAAAAATGGGCTCAGACAGTTTCAAGATGCAAAATTCAGTTTGTATCAGCAGACACACAGGAACACACGTGTAAACACACAACGCTATTACAACTCTAAACTACAAGTGAATGAGTAACTGCAGTTCAACATCACATAATATTATACAGTCTGTGACAAACTGTAACGAACAGAGAAAGTGAAGCATTCACTTCAAGAATGAAACTAATCTGAAGGTACAGTGTCTGGAACAACTTTTGGACTCTCCAAGCTGGGTTTGTATGGGTGTCGATCACATACATACAGAAACAAATATTAAATCAACTTGTAATTTTTTGCTGGTCAGGACAAAGAGCAGCGCAGAAAAGATTCTGTTTACAGAGTCTGTGATGTTTAGTATGATGCAAGATAGTGAAATTTGAGGCAATATCAGCTGATATACAATGTAATTACCAACAGCTGGAATCCCTACCACCTCAAGACAGCGCTCATAAAAAAACCATTACATGTTCTTCAGAGATCTGCTACAAATTTCAGGGAAGAACTGACAAACAAGAAGTTCGCCCTTGGATTTTGATTCTTTCCTATTTAATCACATTTATCTGCTAGTGTTAAATTGCTACCCTATATCGTAGAGGGAACTGAGCAAGCCCGCAACACAGGAAGCCAGCAAGGAGCAAGAACGATCAGTGTGTCCATCTGGCCTCCCACCTCCCTTAACCGTGCCTCGAACCCAGCTCTCATTTTTAAGAAACCATCCCCTTCAGAGCTTGGAATTACCAAATTATTTGATTTTAAATACTTCCCAAAATGGCCAACACCTTTAAGCAGAGCTACTCAATCACCGAGAGAAGAGAGCACTGAAGCAGCAAATAAGCTATTATAAAATAATATGCATTAAGACAACACACAATGACTTCATGATAGGCTTTGAATATCACTGGAAGAAAATAAAGGCCCTTTCTTTTATTAGGAACTTTTGTTTGGTCCAATCAAGACACTAGGAAGGGAATAATCACCTTAACATCTAAAAACATTTAAATACACCACCCATTCTGGTAATGTACCATGTTTTCTTGCACAATGTTACTATTGATTAGCAATATAAACATGCAGTGAAACAAGAACAAAATTGGCAGCAAATAAAAAAAACCCAGCTGACGACAGTTCCGTTTCAATTCTTCCAGCCCAAACACGCCAAAAATTCTGGCTACCAAAAATCTAAACCAGAGTTAAGCGGGATATGTACTAACAAGTTGATCTCCTCAGCTCCAGGAACTTCCCCCCCATCCCCTTTATCTGTTTTGCAATGAAAACCTGACTTCTCAGCTCACAGCCCCATTTCAGCGACAGCAGCGACAGCAAATGTCAGAGAATAGCACAGATTCCGAGGCGATCAGCGGCCTGAATCTCAAACCCTATATTCTTCTGCACTTCCATTTATGAAGGAGGCATTCATGTTTTGTCCCATATGGCTATGAAAATTACAGAACCATCAAAATCTCGATAACAAATCAGAATCTGCCAGAATACTCTCTACAAATAGAGAAATTGGGAGACTCAGCCAGTGCTACACCTTTCTCCTGATAAACAAACGAATAAAAGGCAGACCTCAGTTGTACGAGGTGCTTGGTAAGTCACAGCTCCTGAGGAAATCCAGACATTAAACAACACCAGAACTCCTTTCTAAAGTCTGAACTCCTAGACAAAATCTCTAACCATCATATTGATCTGAACTTGGTAATTTTAATACACACTTCTACCGAACACACACGTGTTTCCACGTTATTGAACTGAAAAAAAAGGATTATACTACAAGATTTCACGACCTCTCAATTGGATGCCACTAATCAGATAAAGCAAAACAAAGATGAAGCCTACGCTTCCCATTTTCACAAAAGGCTTGGAAAGCAACTTCTTGTTACCCACTCCAAGTCTGGCTCAGTATAAGCACACAAAGCTCCCCATTTTTCTCAGGTTCAAAGGAAAAAAATCTCTTAAATTATATGGAAGCAGATGTATGTGTTCCTACCCGCTGTTTCTTTTGCAAGTCACCTCCGTTTTAAATAGCTATTTCAGAAAATAACTGGCTTCTTTCCTTTTTTAAGGTGTACCTAAAGTGTTCTGCAATTATGCAATCCTCCCGTGATTTCTACCACTCCGGTTTAAAAATTAGCAGTCATTTTCATGGCAATTTCGGCTTTGCCTGACAAACACAGCGTTCTGGTACACAAGCCAGTCTTAGAATTGCAGCTGAGCACAGCGTGAAGACGACTGATGAAACTTCCAGCTACTATTCTTTATTTTCGCTGGGTAAATAGCATAATCCAGTTTAAACGCATGTATTTATTCACAGATATGCAAAAGTAAGAAAGAAGTCTAGCAGACCAAGGGCTTTCGGTTTTCTCCATCTTCGTGTTTCCCCCCAGGGAGAGCCTAAAAGCTTTCTGGCCCTTGCAACGCTCTATCACAAAGCAGCATTCCTTCAGCATGACTTTGCACGCTGATGAGGATGCTGTATTAATGTGAAAAAAACATTAGTTTATATAAGGTCATACCTACAACAGCAGGCAGGACAGCATTTATTTTCTGCAGCTGCCAGACACAAAGAGATCCCAACATCTCTCAGCCCTTACAGACTCTGGCATCACTTCGCAAGGCTCGGAATAACTCTTGAGTGCTTTTGAATCTGACCAAAACTGCTTCTTACCTGTCTTCCCAGCTCCGCTCTCTCCCGTTATAAGGATGCACTGGTCTTTGTCCTGGTCCCTTAAGGATCTGTATGCTTCATCCGACAGAGCAAAGCTGCGAAGTGAGAGAGAGCCAGCTGAGAATTAGATAAAACAAATACCAACCATAACGACAATCTGTCCTTCACATCTCGGGGGGGGGAACCCCACACACCACCACCACCAAAACCCCACGTGCTAGCATTCTGTAAGTGGTGAAGCATCCACTTCTCAGAATATAAAGACCCACAGCAGCAAAATGGATACTTTTTCTCAGTGGCTTATTTAGGCTTTTTCCAGCAACAAGCAAACACGATCTCTGTTTTTCTAAAGGTAGCAAGCTCAAAACAAATTCACAAAATTTCAAGGAAATTCAGTAGCTTTCTTCATGGAACAAAACGTCAGTGCATCAGCAGAACGTGTTCTGCCTGAGGACCTTTAAGAAAAAGGGAAGGGGAGAATCCCTGAGCGCTAACACCACCATAAGCTGCGATTTCTACGCTGAAAAGTATGAAGACATCTCAGACCCTTTTAAAATATTGAACATTTTAAGCATTTGGGTATTGCTGGACTTCTGCATAAATACGCAGAAGTGTTTCCCAGTAAGCGTGCTCTTAACTCAGTAAGGATGATGTCGTGTAGTGAAATTAAAGAACATAGTAAGAACCAACAGCTTTCCTGTACCAAAAACGCCTTTCCACGGAGCTCAGAACATCACGACCCTGAAACTACTGGGCTGCAATCCGAATTTCCCAGATGTGCTTTGTTGCCACGTAGCACCATGTATTTTGGAGAACTACTACTTGGTTACTTCTATTTAGTTTTCTTTCGCGGTAATTTTGAGACAGAGTAATCTTGATTCTGTTTCAGCTGCTTTTTGCAGTTCATGGACCAAAGGACTCTGGAAACTGAGCATTAGAACCCCTTGGAAAAACTTAATGCAAGTAGTATCTAAAAAAGGCCATAAAAGCAAAATCCAAACAAGGTGGCACACTTGCGTTGCACAACTGAAAGAAAAAAATCTGGCAGCCAACCATGACATATTTTTACACAAAATAAACAGACCAAATTTACACAAAATTCAACATACCAAGAGCTTTGTCAGATTACTGCCCCTAGTAAAATATTTAATGTTTGTATGTACAGAAAAGTGGATATTGTTTATTATTTATGGTAAAAAAACCTGTATGAAAAATGGAAACAAACTCTCCGGTCAACGTAAAATGTATAATCGCTGCAGGTTCAATGCACCTTTTAGAAACTCGATTCTTTCTTCTCTGACCGTCCCGGAGCTTTGCATTCAGCTGATAACTACAAACAGACCAAGTATGTGTTCTGAATGACGTAGCCATGTAGTGCTTCCACAGGCAACCACAGCCCCTTTCCACACAAGCAAGCTCTTTGCCATGGCACCAGTTAGGGGTAGCGCGGACAACACAACGCGAGTAGTGAGAGCCACACAGAGCCTTTTCTAGGGGCTCCTCTTGCCACAGCTTGAAAGCTTCAAATATTCAACCTACACCTACTCAAATTAGTTCATACTTGTTGCTGCCGCTGTCCCTTAGCTCAGGCAGCTCTTCCTGGCTTCTCTTCCCCACAATGTGTATAGTTCATACTTGTTGCTGCTGCTGTCCCTTAGCTCAGGCAGTTCTTCCTGGCTTCTCTTCCCCACAATGTGTATAGCGAGCACGTCGTATTGTCCCCAATTTATCATCACACACACGTGCAACGCCATTTATACCTCCTTATCCCTCATCAGTATCAGACTCGTCTCATATTTGCTTATTCGGGTTTTGGGTTTGTTTGGTTTTCTGGTTGCATCACGTTATCAGTTCAGCCATCCTGCCAGAGACCAGCACACCACGGGAGTGGTATTCTGAAAAGGTTACAAAGCAGGTACATTAATTACCTTACGGCTCCTTTGCTCCCAAATAATCACACGTTCCCCTCCCTCTCTAGTTCCTGCCAGCGATGCTCGTGTCATTGATGTGTCCCTCTCCTGTCCTCCTCTCTCCCGCAGCCCATCTGCCTGGCCGGTTGCAGGACCAACCCAAGGCTCCAGCTCTCTCACCGCTTCTCTCGCCAGCTTACATTGTCTGAGGCACTAAATTCCAGTTCTTCTCTCCACGCAGATGGCTGGGCCATCCACTTAATGACCTTTGACCATCGTGGCTGTTCTTTTGATGCCCGTACCACTGAACCTGAATTACGACCGACCTCTCAAAACCTCGGACCGCTACGGTGACTGAAGTATTTGAACTCGGTAGTTCAACCGGAGGTGAAAACGTGTTTACGAGAAAGTAGCAGGCTGTAATGTTTTTAGCGTTACAGCAGTGTCAGTCTGTGATGCGGCCAACACGCTGGAGAACTAGCAAAAAAAAAAAACCAAAAACACAAAATTAATTCTGCTGCTGCTGAGAGACCATGACTCAATTTCTGGCATCTGCTTCACTGTCCAGAATCCAAACTACGGTAGCAATAACGCTTTACCAGACTCCCTTACAGGACATATTTAGGAAATGAATAATATTTGTTCAATGCTGCTGCAGATCTACCTGTAAAATGAAAAGTACACTGCACAGCACTCAGAAAAGCTTATTGCAGCGCACATGACATTCCTTTTAGCAAGGAATTAGGAAAAAAAAAAAGCAGTAGGATGAAGAGGAAAGAAATAAAACTGCACTGAGCATCCATGGGCCACGTGACAAAGCGTTAGCACTAATGCCGTGGTTTTCCATGGCTTTGCTTGAGGAAACCGTCTTTCAGGGGGAAGGCACGACTCCGAGATGCTTTTCACGCTTCCAGACTGCACGGCTCGTTCTCTGCCCGCTGTCCTTCAAACAATCTCAGCCGCCAACTAGTATTGCACTGTTGAAACAACTTCCTTGGCAGCAGTTTCACGCCGGAATACGAAGTCAGCATCAAGCACAGAGACAGCATTCTCTCTGTTGACATACCGAGTTACCAGTTCATCAGCTTAGTAACCATTCATCTTTTCTAATACACTGAATTTTAGTTTCTGCCAAAATGTATTTTACTGCTTGAGGTATTTATTAACTCCGCCTGCACTGCATAGTTAAAAACACCAAATCATGCTTTTTCTTCTCCCTCTAACACTGCGACGAGACCTCTGAAGTTGGAGAAGAGAGTGGGATTTCAGCCAGTTCTGGCTTTACCCAATCTAGTCAGAGACGCTTGGCATACACTAACTTTTCCTCCCATCTACACAATCCAGAAAAGCCAATTACTTCACAAATACATCAAATATTATCTACTACAGACAAAAAAAGAAGTAGACTCATTTCAAGTGTTCTCAAATCCACCCCTGATGTTTCAACCGCTGCTCCAGCAATTCAGCTGGAGGAGGCCTAACCAAGAGTGTGTTTAAATATCTACGATTTCTCTGCCTTTCTGGCACTGCACAAACAGCATTAGACACATGTATGTCAGAGCCTGGACCAAGACCTTTATCTCAAAGGAACAGACAGATCTATTCGTTTGTCATGTCGACTCTCACGGTGCACCGTTACACCTCTCAGTCCTTCCTATCTGTTATCGCCTTCTGTCTTTGCAATAATAATAAAAAAACTCCCACAAACCTTGAGTCTTTTGTTTCAAACTCTATTTGATCCAAAAATATGTTTTCATGGTATTCCCTATTTGTTACAAACATATAAAATAATTTCATTTAAGGTCATTTTAGTTTAACACATTTTGTCGATCCATAGACCACAAAGAATCCTTCTATTCTTTTCCTTTGAAGATGGCTCTGTAAAGTCAACATGTGCAACTATAGGTTTAAGCTTCATACCACTCTGAGAGCCACCTCACAATTACAGAGCCTGAGTAAAATTTTAGAACAGTTTGCAGTTTAAAGAGCAGTTATAAACCATGTGTTTTGAATTAGCTGGTGAGTGTGTCAGCAGTGTCATTTACCATACCTTATAATAAGCTCTCCTTTCATTTTTAGGATTTCATGAAAGACGATGACATTCTCCTACCACAACAAACACAGGAATATTTACTGGAGTTCTCTTTTAGCGACAGCTTAAGTATAGAAGCAATTTGAAATCGAAATGCCACCCACACCTAGCTCAGTAAGAAGGCTCTGCTTTTTTATCGCACAGCTTTGCCAGCCGCACAGCTCCAGATGGCCAGATCTGTCACAAAGTCCTAACCCCAAAATTCTGACAAAGGGAAACGGCAAACAGGCCTCCAAGGGGGATCTTCCAAAGGGCTCGAGCAATGTTCAGCAGCACAGCGGCACCTCTGCGCTCTGCCAAAACGCCGGGGTCAGGAACAGACAGGAGCCAGGCTCCCACCCACTCACCCCAAAACGAGCACCAACCGCCAGCGCTTGGTCTGAACGCTCCAGGCTGCACCCACCGTTACACCAGGGGTAAAAACCTTGCTCTACACGTCATGAACTCAGCCCACGGGAGCAGCTCTTCTCTCCTACCGCCTTTTCCCTTCAAGCCAAAATCACAAGGACCAGTATTTGCCAGCTATCAGTACTTCTTTCCACTGTTATTTTCACTCGTCCTCTCATTTCCCTTAGCATTCTCAGTTAAGAGCAATTAGTTAACGCTATCTTAAACTCCCTGAGATTGCTTTTCTCATGCACTAAGAGCATCAGTTCCCTTCATCCCATCTTCACTCGTTCTTGCTTTGATCGAGGAGCTACTGGAAAGAGTCCAGCGGAGGGCTACGAGGATGAGGAGGGGACTGGAGCATCTCTCCTACGAGGAGAGGCTGAGGGAGCTGGGCTTGTTCAGCCTGAAGAAGAGAAGGCTGAGAGGGGACCTTAGAAATGCCTCTAAATATCTGCAGGGTGGGTGTCAGGAGGACGGGGCCAAGCTCCTTCCAGTGGTGCCCAGCGACAGGACAAGGGGCAATGGGCACAAACTGAAGCAGAGGAAGTTCCAGCTGAAGATGAGGAAGAACTTCTTCACTCTGAGGGTGACGGCGCCCTGGCACCGGCAGCGCAGGGCAGTTGTGTCGGGGGAGATATTCAAGCCCCGCCTGGACAAGGTCCTGTGCAGCCTGGTGTAGGTGACCCTGCTTCGGCAGGGGGGT